TGTCCAGAGCATTCATCTCAGATATCCTCTATAAGTGATACCTTGACCCAAGATCCTCTTATTTCAGATAGTAGTTCGGTTATTCCACTTTGTCATTCTACCCGTATCTCTCGACCTCCTGACCACTATGGTTTTCCTTCAAACCATAGTTCCTTTTCTGTTGAACTTTCTTCCACAGATATCCCTAGACCTTATCAGCAAGCCATTAGAAGTTCTCAGTGGAAAGAAGCTATGGATGCCGAAATTCAAGCCCTCCATGAGAATGATACTTGGGATCTTGTGCCAGTTCCTCCAGATGCTTCTATTGTTGGAAGCCGTTGGATCTATACGATCAAACTGAAATCAAATGGTTCTCTTGATCGATATAAGGCCTGGTTAGTTGCCCAAGGATACAATCAGGAATTTGGGATTGATTATGGAGAAACATTTGCCCCGGTTGCTAAGATCACCACAGTTCGGACTCTTATGGCCATATCTGTTGTTTATTCCTGGACTATTTACCAATTAGATGTGAAGAATGCTTTCTGTTACGAAATTATAGGCTATAAATATGTAGTATTAGCCCAATTAGGAATAGCTTGATTATAGGAATTATTCTTTCTTTGATTTTCTTCCTATTTAGTCTCTACCTTTTTTGTATCTGCAAGGCTGTATGATTTTCTTCCTTTTTTGTATCTGCAAGACTGTATGATTTTCTTCCTTTTTAGTATCTACAAGGTTGTATATATATGTACTACTTTCTCAATAGAAAGACATCAATTTCTTCTAATTCTTGTTCTATCACACTTTCCTTCATGGTAAACTAAAGGAGACAATATACATGAAACCTCTGCCTGGATATTGCAGTGATCCTTCACATTTCTGTCGCCTAAAGTAGTCTTTATATGGCTTGAAGCAAGCACCAGGGCTTGGTTTGAATGCTTCCGGGATGTTGCAGCTGGGTATAATCAGAGTTCCTCTAACTACTCCCTCTTTGTTAAGAGAAGACTCCAAGGTATTACTATTCTTCTATTGTATGTTGATGACATGCTTCTAATGGGGGATGATCATGACGGCATTTGTGAGCTGAAGTCCTTCATAACTCATTTCACATGAAGGACCTTGGTCCTCTCACTTCTTGGGTTTGGAGGTTCATCATAGCAGTTGAGGGTATTTTATTTGTCAACAGAAATACGCCTCTAATCTCGTCAAACTAGTTGGAATCACTGACGAGAAACATGTTGATACCCCCCTGGAGCTGAACGTCAAGCTATCTAAATCCAAAGGCCTCATCCTTCCTGATGCTACCTTGTACCGTCAGCTTGTTGGCTCTTTGATCTATCTTACTATGACCAGGCCTGATATTTCACATGCTGTTCAGGTCGTCAATCAATTTGTCTCTGCTCCGAGACAACCTCATATGACTGTTGTTCGCCGCATCATCCATTATGTTAGAGACACAACCTCTTAGGGACTGTTTTTCTCTTCCTCATCATCCATACAGTTGAGGGTTTATGTTGATGCTGATTAGGCTGGTTGCCCTGACACTCGTCAATCCACTACTGGGTGGTGCGTCTTCATGGGTGACTCTCTCATCTCCTAGAAGTGCAAGAAACAACAAACTGTCTCTAAGTCTTCTACTGAAGCCAAGTATAGATCTATGTCTTCTGCATGTAGCGAGATTGTTTGGCTGAAGTCACTTTTTATGGATCTTGGTATTTCTCTTCCTACTCCTATCCCTCTGTATGCCGACAACACCAGCGCTATCAAGATCGCATCTAATTCAGTCTTTCAAGAGAGGACTAAACATATCGAGGTGGATTGTCACTTTATTAGAGACCTCCTTGCTGCAGGCTCTATATCTCTTCTTCATGTAGCCTCTCACATGCAGATTGTCGACATCTTCACCAAGGCCATGACTAAAAGTCAACATCTCATTCTTGTGGGCAAACTGATGCTGATGTCTATGCATCAGTTTGAGGGGGATTGTGAAGATATATCTTGATGTACATTATTAGAGTAGTCCTTGTTATACAGTATCGTAATTCTTATTATTTTATTTGTTCTTTTTATCTTTCCGCCCTGTAAGGGCATTCTTGTAACTGTACATACCTTTTATCTCTTTAATATAAAAGAGACTCTTTGGGGTGGGGGTCAACTATTCTTGACACCCCTAAATCTATTTTCTTATTGCTCTCAATTCAGTTCACAGCATCATTTGATGGAACTATTGAACCAAAGATAGTACTTCATTACGGGATCTCATCAAATATATCCAAGAGTATCGAGAATAGTCATCCACAAACAGAAGAAAATACCCAATGCCACCCATAGAGGAAATATGGTATGGCCCCCTACACCAATATGAACAATATTAAAAATAGAAGAACATCTTTTATTGCTTGCTTTAAAGGAATGTCTACAATGCTTTCCAAGTTGGCAACCCTCACACTCCAAGCTGGACAAACTGACAAACTCAAACAATTTTGGAAACAAAAAACACAAAGAAGCACAAGATAAATGCCCTAACCGATTATTCCAAAGCATAATCTGACCCATTGACTTTGACTCAATGTTCCCTCTGACATGATGACTCTAATGACTAGGAAGTGCATCAAGAAGATAGATTCCATTCACCACACGACCATTCCCAATTGTTCTCTTTGATTTCAAATCTTGCAAAAACCAGGAGAAAAAAAAATCATTGAATAGTTCAAATTCTTTGTCAAGCTACTAACAGATAAAAGATTAGTACTCAGTCTAGGAACATGAAGGACAGAAGGTAGGGTAATGGCATCAGTTATCTTGACAGACCCTTTTTCATCAATGGGAACATGTGATCCATCGGCTTCGGAGTCTATAATCCAGGGAGGTCCCCCCTTACTTGTAGCGGATGCATAATTTGCAGTGGCATGTGAACTACCTATATGTGCAAACGAAGTAGATTGACTACCTCCTAATCCACCTACACCTTGTTGTCCACCTGATAATGAGCTGGAACTGGTTGTATCCCTCTGATTCAAAGACTGCCCATATCTCTCCGATGCGGCCCTCACTGCAGCTGTTGCAACAGACTCTAGAGAAGTTGTAGTAGGTGGTCTTGATAAATCATCAGTCACTGCCATATTCACGTTTCCTTTCTTGTTTCTGAGCCGACTTGGTATAAGGTGTGGGTAAAGCTTCCAACAAGTATCTCTAGTATGTTTAGGTTTCTTATAGTAGTCACAAATCAGATCTTTCGTGTCCTCCTTCCTCGGTTCATTTCCACCCTTATCCTCACTCGGCTTAGGCTTCATTGTGCTAACCATAGCTAGCTGCTCAAGGCTTGGATTCTTCATCATCACATTCCTCCTACTCTCCTCTCCAGACACAAAGGCATATGCCAAAGAGAGAGAGTTACACAGTCTTGGGAAAGAATATGCTGTCGTGCAATGTCATATTCAAGGTTAACTCCTATTAGAAACTCAAAAACCCTATTCTTCTCTACCAACTTCTGATAAGTTGTTGCATCTTTTCTACTTTCCCAAACCACAGTCTCCAAATGATCTATCTCCTGCCATAAGATTTCGAGGGTTGAAAAATAAATGGCAACAGGCTTATCTCCCTGCCTAGTAGCAATCACTTGGTTTCTCAACTGGTAGGCTCTAGCAACATTCTCATTCTGTGAATAAGTTTCTGCTACTCCATCCCAAATCTCCTTAGCTGTATTAGCTCATAAAAAGTTCTTACTTATATGGGGTAACATGAAATTGCACAGCCAAGTCATTACCATGTAGTTCTCTTGTACCCACCAGGAGTAGTTAGTCTCAGGTTTCTATTCTTCACCAATGACATACCCCAATTTCCCACAAGCTCCAATGGGCATCTTTGCAAATTGTGACCATTCTAAGTAGTTTGTACCATCCAACTTGACTGTAGTGATGGTCCTAGCCCTGAAGAGATCACCAACACCTCCTTCACCTAGTCCTATTTCACCTACAAATTTGTATTCAACTCCACAACCCTCTATGACTCCCAAAACAGATTAGGAAATCAATTTGAGATGAAAAGAAAGAGGTTTATCTCCTTTAGAAACCTTAAAGACCTTCCTAGTACCCTAAAAGCTCCTCTCTCCAAAGATTCCCTTCTCCGTGGGAACAGGAGAAGAAAGAGAAGAGGCTACCGCTCCCTCTAGAGGCCTCCAAAAAGGTTGGGATTTGAACAACCCTCTTCAAAAAACCTCAAGAAACCCTAAAAAGCCAGAGAGCCACTTCTTAGGTCAAAATTGAAGAGTCCTACTAAATCAGGACTCTGGACCAGCTACAAGGGATTGCAAATCCACCAAAAAATTCAAAAACTAGGCTTACCAAGTGGATGGAACAACTCAAACAATCTCTAAACTTGCTCTGTTACCAAGTAGAAAAGTGTAAAAGATCTGTTTTGATATAAAATCTGTGTAAGAAAGAGAAAAGGAAAGAGAAGAGAAGGTTTATGCAAAGAAGAAGAGAGGAGAGAAATTGAAGAAAATGGGAGAAGCCAAAATTTTGGTCCAGCCACCCCTTTCATTAGCTTATATACTCACAAATAAAAACTGAATACAAAGATAAGTATGCCCATAGTAAGTCGGCTACTTGTAAAATCTAAATAAACATTCTTAATTTAAACATAAACTAATGGGCCTTGGGCCCAATAACTCTCTAACTATGCCATGTAAATAAAAACAAGTGATATCAGCCCAAAACTCAACAATAAGATTTTATAATATTTAGAACAATGTTCCTTAATTTTTAGGGGTGCAGTTCTAAGGCATTTCTATTTCTTGGATTTAACATTTTGGCATGGCAATGGTTACAGCCTTTTATCTCTTAAAGCTGATCTTTAGCCCTCATAGTTTCTTTTATGGGATTCATTTGAGTCCTCGGTCAGTCCAATAAACAAAAGTTAGACATGTAGAGAGTCACGCTATTCTATGCATAATGTAGTCCCTGTGTAAGGTGATGGCATCTTCTTCCATTTTTTTTACTCGATAAACTTTGTGTTTCCTTGACTTCCAAACGCTTGGGATATGGACCAGTGCACAACCCAATGGGCTAGCTGTCCCTGATGCAAGCATGCATCCTGTCAAATCAACCACAGATGTACTGGATTTAATGCAAATTGGACTAACGAACAGGGCTGTAAGTTCCACTGCTATGAATCAAAGAAGTAGCCGGTCCCACAGGTTTTTTGTCTATTATCTTAATCACACTTGTCTCCTAAATAGTTGACCTCTTGGTGTCTGTTTTTTATATAGATTTATGTATGCAGTGTTCTCACTGTTCATGTTCGTGGAATGGACCTGGCTTCTGGTGATGCTTTGCGTGGCAGTCTTCATTTGGTAGATCTTGCTGGAAGTGAAAGAGTTGATCGCTCTGAAGTAACTGGAGAAAGACTTAAAGAGGCGCAACACATAAACAAATCTTTATCTGCACTTGGAGATGTCATCTTTGCTCTAGCACAAAAGAGCCCTCATGTGCCATATAGAAACAGCAAATTAACTCAAGTCCTTCAAAGTTCTCTAGGTGCATTTACTTACTTTTATTGCTGATCATGCTTACTTCTTGTACCGAGTAAAATGATATTACATTTGCAGCTCTCAATATTCCTCTCAAATTCATTGATTAGATTATTTTCATATCCCTCTCGCACTATAGGTGGTCAGGCAAAGACTCTCATGTTTGTGCAACTTAATCCAGATTTGAATTCTTACTCTGAGACTCTGAGTACTTTGAAGTTTGCTGAGAGGGTCTCTGGAGTTGAGCTAGGTGCTGCACGGAGTAGCAAAGAGGGTAAAGATGTTAGAGAATTAATAGAACAGGTACTTGATATATTGTGTCCTGTTTTTCATTTTACAAATGTTACTTTTTCAATCATCTCAAAACATTTTGCATTGGAAGTCAATTTCTGATCACCCTCTTCTAGTAAATAAATTCTTGGTTAAAGAGTTATGGGAAAATGTGACAACTATGAAATGTTCTTATCCAGTAAGATTAATAATGTTAGTGATGGTAAGTGCCATAAATTTCTAAGCATACATGATTAGAAGTGTTCTTATCCTTTTGGAGTTAACCCAAAGAAAATATAATACATTCCTTCAACACTATGTATGTTACTCAACTAACACCAGGCATGTAGATTCTGAGCTTTTTGGCTAACAATCAAAGGATGTTATCTGATTTCTTTTGCTTTTCATTTTGCAGTTCTCATTAGATTAATTGATTTTCATAGCAACCTACTTGCTATTATTTAGTGGCTTCATCTCTAGTTTTCTTCAACTTGTTGAGTTTCAATTTAGAATGTAGTAAAAACTTTTATTGGATTTCATGACAATTTAACCATAGAAACTAATCAAAGTTGAACAAACAAATAACAACAGAACATGTAAAAGAACGAAAAACAAAAGTAAACAAAATAGGCTATAAACATTATAGCATTAATGGTGTATGAAGCACAAAGACCCTTGTTGGCAAACTTTTTGTTGACTAGTGCATACTGATTACACCTTTATCAAAGCAATGAATAATCAACTAACTAATTAGTTGAGGGCATTACTGTTCGCATCACTAACTTGTCAGTTGATACCAGTGATGTGGTCTCCTGGGACAAATAAGCATCAACTAGACCAACCAACATCGAGTCAACCAAATCAACCAAAATTTGTTTCATACCTTTATTATCTCATATACATGCTAGTTGCTTTACTTATTTGTGATGACACATAGTTGGGTGATGGTATATAAAATACTACTAACAATATAAAACGAAAGAACAATAGGGGAGGAGTTCTTTCTGGTCCTCTTATAATTAGTTATCTACTGGTATAAAATTGTGACAGGGGAGCACCTGGTCACCTTGGTGTAAAGGATTTTCTGGAAGAACTTAGATCTTTTTCTAAGTCATTGGGTTTCATAGCAATCAGCAATCAACTTTACCAAAAATTAGCAATAATCTTGATCAAATAAGTTTAAATTTCATATGAAAACATTATATTGATGAGGAGATAACCTTATAAAAATAATAATTTCATTTACTAAAAAAATAATATATATATAATAATTTCATCATATTCATCTGACAGAAGGGATGATACCAACATCTCGCAAATTGTGCAGTCAACAGAGGATGGTTAGATCCCTGCTCTGATACCAAGCACGAGATTAATAACAATAAAATGAAGAATGGAGGAGGGAGAAGAAAGGAGAAAGAGAAGAGAAGAACGAAAGGAGGGAATGAATAGCCAGATAAAAGTGACTTTCTGCCCTTCTCATTTGTGAGTTTTCTCCTAGAAGAGGGTGTGTTAAGAGGCCAACATTGAAACCTCAGTCTTGTTCCTGTAAAGGTGAGGTGTTCTAGTTACTCTTGTTTAAGAGAGGCTGTATTTGGTGTTCTTTGGGACTTGACTTTCCTTCTTGACTGTTTATCATGTCAACTAAAGATTTAGAAGCATTAGGGATCTATTCCTCTCATTCCGTGTCTAATATCAGCATGGATACTATAAATTTTCCTACTACATGATCATCTAATGATTGCAGGGAAATTTAAATAATAAACAATAAAAACCCTAGAAAACCAAGCATCAGAAGTGACCTCTCGAGGGGAATCAAGAAAACATCTAAATCACCTTTCAGATATAACAATAATGAAAAACCAAGGAACAAAATCAAACCCTAATTCAGATTACAAGTGCCCTGAGAGAACCAATCTCTAAAAACTTGAGATGCGCTAGTTTTTATTAAATTGCACAAACCAGCTCTACAGGGAAAAATGATTTCAAGAAGGCTTCAAAGGCCACTTGGTCTGAACCAAATATGATCTAATCTCTAAGTTTCAGACTTGCTCTGGTACAAATTTTAATCAGAAACGGTGAAGTAATCTAGTTTACAACTTGGTGAATTTCAAAATTTTAACCTGGGAAACTGCAGTATGTTGAATGATTACAACACTAGGAGAAACCCTTTATCTAAAATTAGATCGAACTGGGGATTTTTCCACAATGTTTCAGACGCAAAACAATAGAAAAAGAAAAACAGACCTGATGAAAAATCCCACCTTGAGTGCAGCAGGTCATTATGGTGTTCACACCCATTTTTCTATCTCTTTCACAGATCCTGATTCTTGTCTAGCTGATTTCCCATTCTTTGAGAGCTTGAACTGAAGAAGAAAGGTGCTAGATCAAATCAGCACACCAAGGTTAGAAGAATAGGGTTGATCTCAAATTGTAAATAGGGTTTCTACTACTGTTATAAGAAAATGCTAGTTTATGGTCGATCTCAAAGTTGTGAAAACTTGTAAATTGGTTTTCTAAGAATCTTCTTAAAGCCTCTCTTAAACTCTAGAGCAATCCCTATTGAATTATGAGAGAGACCCTTCTTAGTTCAGCCAGGTCACTCCTCTCACGGGACAGGGAGTGTTCAAGTTGCACTAGTGGTCTCCTTGAATAGTTTAATTCAGCCTTGATTTCTCATTCAAATAGATATATGAGTAAGATAGGTAGTTTGTATTAGTGTGGGATTCATAGGAGTTCAAATCAAGCCAAGCTTTAGAGTCAAATTCACAGAGTGAATTTGGACCTATTCTAGGTCCAGTCCATTGGCCTAATTTGAAACATCTTTATTAGGTTTTGGGGCCTAACAAACATTTGCAACATAATTGTTATAAACAAGGGAAGGACTTATTCCCCATTGAGATAAAAGCAGCATCATATCTTCTGTCATGGTGGAATCCCGGGAAACTTTGAAAACCCATTTTGAAAATAAACTATTAGAGAATGTAGACATATATTGTTTGGTCACGTGCATAGAAGTCAACAACACCCATAACCATAAGAAGAAGTGATTTGTTGCAAATTGAAAGAGATAAAAAGGGCTAGGGGTAGATCAAAAAGAACTTGGGTAGAAGTAGCAAAAAGTGATTTAAGCACCAATAGTTTAACAATGGATATGGCTTTCAACAGTATGGAATGAAAAAATAGGATTCATGTTGTCAATCCTATATAGTTGGTATAAGGCTTGGATGATGAATATAATGATTATGATTTTGAAATGAAACCATTTTTTTAATATAATATACATTTTGCAAAACCGGTTTCAAACCAATTGAAACGTACTGCCGGTAGATTTAGGTATCCATTAGAGAAGTCACTTTTAGGGTATTCACTCTATCTAACAGAGTGGTAGATCCTATCACTGGTATTGGTAATATGTCTCTTGATTATGACCTCACTTTATATTCTATGTTATGTATCCAAATTCCCCTGTAGTTTTTTGTCTGTGAGCAAACTAACTGAATCTCTTAATTGCTTAGTCACCTTTTATCCTTCTTATTGTGTCTTTCAGGATCTCAAGATGGGAAAGTTGGAGAATTTTACTATCTGGATGGTGATGGTGGTTCACAGAAAGATCTCCATTCTTCTTTCACACCTCACCAGTGGCACTGTCGTTTGGGTCATCCTTCTCTCCAAATCTTAAAGAAGTTAGTTCCTACCTTCAAGTCAGTTTCAAGTTTAGAGTGAGTCATGTCAATTTAGTTAAGTGGGGACTCAAATCTGGACTGGTTATTAGTCCTAATATATTTATTGGTAAAATGACTTCTACAAAACTGAATGGAGAAAATTATGTTCCTTAGTCCAAGTTTATTGAAGTATTCCTGACAACTAATGGAAAGCAGAAGCATATCTTTGAAGACAAACCGGAAACCACTTCATGTAACTATAGTGAGTGGGTACAGGAAAATGCATAGATAATGACCTGGCTGTGGAATAGTATGGACAATGGAGGTGAAAATCAGGACCAACCTTATGTATCTGGACACAACAAAGGAAATATGGGATCATTGCAAGCACTTGTATTCTGGACAAAATAATATTACCTGAATATATCAGCTTTATCAAGATTACTTTCTACTTCAACAAGAAGGTAAAAATGTGGAGTACTATTCCACTCTCAAAATATTCAGAATGAACTGGATGTGTATCAACCCCTCACACTTGATTTGTCAAAGCAACAAAAATACTGTGATTAATTAGATGTAGTAAGGTTCTTGTTAGGACTTAGACCTAGTTTGAACCAATACGGGCCTAGATACTGGGGAATTGTGAGCTTCCTTCTCTTACAGATGTGTTTTCTTGGGTTAGGAGAGCCTCCTTGATGAATCATGGTGCAGTTTCTAATACTCTTGGGAACAGAACAGCTATGGTAGTAGTTAAAGGTGCTGGATGTGGAGAAAGGAAGTGCAAGGGGTGCCAAGGGTGGTAGATGTGCTCCTCAAAATATTGGTGTTGGACGAGATGTAGGTAAGGAGCTGGGGGGAGTTCATTGAAGAAATGGTTGTGGAAGGGGCATGACTTGAAAGTGTTATTATGGAGCTGATGGCCATACCATTAACTCTTGCTATGATTTACATGACCCACCTTTGACGTAGGCCAACCATGAAGCTACGACTTGTGAGCAAGGTTCAAAATTTCGTTACGTATCAGGCCATATCGACCGATACGTATCGTATTGGTGGCTTCTCGATACACCCCTACAGGGGGTGTTTCGGGGTCTGACCTGGTTCAGGGGGTAGAAGGACCTTAAACCGACCCCTCTGAACCAGTTGGAGAAGAAAAACTAAAAAATAACAAAAAAAATAAAAGGCAAGCCACAATAGAGGCTGATACGCCCCTACCGGCGTATCGGCCTGTATTGATATTTTGAACCTTGCTTGTGAGTCACCTACTCACCTAGTATTGAGAATCCATCAACTGATATAATGGTTGCTTCAGGTGGAGAGATAGGGAAGGAACTTTTATCTATTACTCATAAGGAGTATGAACAGCTATGTAGCTCTTCTTCCAATAATACTGTGACTCTTGCAAAGTCATGTATCGCTTGTATTGCTTCTCAATCAAAATCTTCTTCTTGGGTTATTGATTCTAAGAACATAAAGTTTCTAGCAATATGGAGTTGCATAAAACTAAAAATTAAGAAGTTTCCTAGAAACACGAAATTAGTTAATAAACCTTCAAGAATTGTTAGAAAAGTATAATTGCACATTTAAAGCTTAAAAACCTTAGCAAAGTAATGTATAAATCAAATAAGAGAAAATTAAGAGATGTTAATAGGAATCTTTCTCTGTCTCCCTTTTAGTCTTTTAGCATCATTAAATATGTCATTTACTTGCCATTTTGACTCTGTTTTTTTTTTTTTTTTTTGTTACTATATGTTTTGATTAGATTGAGAATCCTTTGAATTATAGTTCTAAGGGGATAGACATGCCTATTGTCATGGCGCTGCATTAAAGCATTGTGATTCCTTACTATTCGGATTCTAAGATTCGCAACATTTGTTGAGTGCGTAAATTAGTGAATCTCACAGGAGTATTCGCCAAAACCTGGCTTCACAGCCCTCACATCCAAACAAATTAGTACTTTACGCATGAAGGGTATAGAAGCTTAGATCGCACCATGTGGTGAGATCGTGAAGGAGATAGGGAAAACCATGCAAGTCCCCTCCGGGAATGTGTCTTCACCCAAGACAACCTAGGATCTGTAGCTGCAACTTACAACTTCCTCAGAATGTTCTGGAGTATCGAGAGGCCATGCCTATCTGCATGGCCACCTTTTCCTATAAATAGGGGATTTGGTACCCTTGGGGATGGACTTATAAAAACATTTTTCACCCCTTGTTTGATTCTCTGTTACTTTTTCACCGGCATACCCCTTCTGGCATTTGTATCCAACTTCAGAACATATAAACCAACCTTAATGGTAACTTGTAAGTGAACCATATCAAAATAGTAGCCAATTATCTGATCACTAGTTCCCCATCGGTTCTTTTAGGAAAAGATTTAAAAATTTATAATGATTTTATTGAAATATCGAAAGTTGTTAGTAACATTTTAAAATCCTAAATCTTAGATATATATTCTATCAAGAAATCTAAAATATCACCAACAAATTGGCAAAATGTTGGAGATGTTGGAAAAAAATATTCTCAGAAAATTTCATATCACCACCTATCAAACAAATATCACCAATATTGTGAACCATTGTGAGGCCCACGCCCCATGCATATATGATCATGTATAAAATTACAAAGATATCCTTGATCCTTGATTAATAGAGAGATAGAAAAGCCACATGAAATGATATAAATGCTTCAATCAAATAAGGTCCGCCTTCAAATAAGGTCCGCCTTCAAAAAGAGGGAACCTCCACAACCACATCTCAATCAAATAAGTACTTCTAACTCTCATTGTCCCTTTGTCCCTATCTCTCATATTTACCAACACTATCCCAATTCCTAATTGATTAGATGGTCGTTTTTATTTTCTTTTTTGTCAAGATGTTCTAAAGAAATACTTTCCTTATTGTTTTCACTCTTAGTAATAAGTCATCGTTTTCCTTGTCAGGTATCTACTTCCCAATCAACCAATTCCACTAGATTAATGTCAGTTCCTTAAACTTTGCCTTTACAAAATGGACTTTGCATTCTTTAGGTACAGCGTCTAATAACCCATTCTTGTTCAGATATTTCTAAGAAATCTCTAACTTCAACTCTGGCTTTGTCCATAATTAATGAATACTTTTGAAAGGTGCGCTATATTCAAACCAAAACCAAATTAGGGGTAAGCATTTGGTTTATTCGGTTAGAAACAGAACCAAATAAACCGAAATTAAAAACTAAAATCCAAACCAAAACCAAACTAGAGGAGAACTGAAATTTTCAGTTCAGTTTTTGGTTATTTCAGTTAAAACTGAATTTCAATAATATATAATATATATTATGAAACCATATTTCATTAGAATATATTATATATTATACATTAATATAAAAATATAATATATTATATAACAAAATTCGTTTAATTTGGTTTTTTTTGTTAACTGGATTTCTAATTTTAAAAATCGAAACCAAAACCAAAATATTAAAAAACCGAATTAACCAAAAACAAAACCGAAATTTCCAATTCGGTTTTTTGGTTTTAACTGAATAATGCTCACCCCTATGTAAATGTACATTTGAATATGTGAATATTTTACTAATGATCAATGAAATGTTATCTTACATATTTTTTCAGCTCATTTACATGATTATCATCTATTTCTTGTTGACCTTGCAGGTGGCATCACTGAAAGACACAATTGCAAAAAAAGATGAGGAAATTGAACAGTTGCAACTACTAAAAGATCTTAGAACTATGTCTCCCAGTGTCAGTTGTGAAAAGCAGGACACAAGCCTTCTGTGGTGCGGATCTTCCTTACCAAGCAAACACTCTCTTAGTGCAACTCCTTCACAAAGCCAAAGACAGTCAGCGGAGAAAGGCTCAAAACATGACAAAGCAACTTCTGACCAGGACAAGTGCTCAGAGAACAATGATAAACACTCTGAAGCTAGTTCTCAGCAATCTCTGGACGACTTCAGGCATCATAAGGAACTTTTCTGTCAGTCAAAGCTTGCTGCAGGGGATTCAGGACAAAATTTTTCTGCAGACGTTGAGCTTTTAGGGTTTGGAAATCCAGATTCTGAGAGATCAAGTGACATATCTGACAGTGGCCTCTCCATGGGTACAGAAACTGATGGTTCAATATGCAGTGTTGTCGAGTTCAGTCCTTTCTCTGAGGGTTCAAAACCACCAGAAAGCCCTGAGGGTTCAAAACCACCAGAAAGCCCTGAGGGTTCAAAACCAGCAGAGAGCACAGAGAAGTGAGTATTTTCTCTTTTTTTTCGTTCTTTTCCATGTGTCTTTTCCTGTTTGGGGACATAATTCTTACCATAGTAGTTACAGAAAGTTGAAATTCCAAAGTTTTTGATGGTTTGCTTAATTAGTTGGAGACACAAACAACATGTTAGTGCTTATATTATTCTAATTGTTTTTCTAATGCAGCTAGTTGATTGATGTGCAGAAACCAGCATTCTCATAATTACATCACTACACATACCATAATGCTTTGTATTTATTTGAAAGGGCTATGTTCTATATATGTTCCACATTGATGTTCTGAATTATTTTTCTTTTCTTTTTTTTTTTTTTTGTGAAATGGTTATTGGGGCTCTATATGATAAATTAAGTATTACACATGATAAATGATAGAATGCAAAAGATTTGTTACCTGAATGAAAACTACAAGAAACCTTTTACTTATATTTTATAATTGGACTACTGGTTTCTTATAATTTGTTCCAACTATGAACTCTATTGAACTTTGGGGAGGCTACTTGCCTTCTAACCTAAAGCTAAGTGAAATGGATTTTACAGCACAATTTAATTCTGCAATTAATCACCCATTGGTTAAACCAAAATCATGTCAAGGTTTCCACCTTATTGATGCCAGTTTTGGTTGGGTGATGGGATATGTGGCATGCTACTAAATATACTGCACCATTAAGGTAACTTTTGACTGAGTTTTGTTATTAACATACCAAACTATATGACGCAGGGATAAAGCACCATCCAAAATGCTTCGACCATCACTACAAAAGCAGAGACAAGCAAAAATGGTTCGGCCATCATCATCTAAGGACTTGTCTAAGTTGTCAGCAATTATACAGAAGCAGGGGCAAGAAAAAATGGTTCGGCCATCATCGTCTAAGGACTTGTCTAAGTTGTCACCAAGTATGTATAGTTTGATATCTTGCTGAGTTAGCTGATATTCCTTGAAAATTGTACAGTTACCTTCTTTACTGGTCCAAGGGCTGTATTACCTTTTTTTTTGTCTAATTAGCTCTAACTTTTCCCATTTTAATGTGCCTCCAAGCTTCAAGAAAAACCACCAGCAGCTCTTCTTTGACCAAGCCACCCAAACGTGGGCAGTAAAACTAGAAGGCATTTTTTAGTTTTAAAGGTTGGTTACTATGAATTACAGTTCCTGGAAGCAATGTTATCACTTTTTGTATTAGTATGATATTATCATTTTCAAATTCTTGTTACCTCAATATTTTTAGTCTGGGTATTGCCACATGCGTACATAATGTAGGCTCACTTTACAATATATATGTTAATGTAACCAAAACTACAAGAACCATAGCCTGTGGGTGCCTAGATTCTGAAAGAAACCTTTCACTTCTATTTTATAACTTGACTATGTTTATTACACTTTGCTCCAATTCTGTGCTCTATGGAACTTTGGGGAGGCCATTTGCCTTCTACCTTCAGGCTAAGTGAAATGGATTTTTCTGCATAATTTTAATTCTGCAATTAATATTCCATAGGTTAAAGCATTATCATGTCAATGTTTTTCCACCTTGTTGGTGCCATTTTTGGTTGGGGTGATAGGATAATTGATCATTCTACTAAAATACTGCACCCTTAAGGTAACTTTTGGCTCTGATTTTTTTTTTTTTTTGTTAACATACCAAACTTTATGATGCAGGGATAGAGCACCATCAAAAAAACTTCAACCATCACCACAAAAGCTGGACAAAATTAGAAGGCATTTAGATGGCAAATAATTCTTTTTTTATTACAGTCCCCCACCCCCTCTTGTGGTCTCTTGCCACCATCTCTTGGCTGGTGTTTTCAAATGTCAACTCTCATTCTTATTTATTACTTGCCATGTCTGTTTTTTACATGGGCATCAGGTATTGCATGAAGCTGATTGCCAACATTCAATGTAAGAACTGTAGTATATGTTTAACTTTTCTTTTCTCCGATTAACTTGTTTGACTTTTCAAGATTGGCTAATGGCCATAGCAACTTTCATCTATTTATTTATTTGTTTCCTTGTTTGTTTATTTGCTGGAACTGAGTAGTATAACTAGGGGTGAGCATGGGTTGGTTCAGTTTCATTCCAAGGCAGAACCCAGGACCAAGGTTCAAAATATCAGAAATGCCAAGTGTATTATAATGGCAATTTTAAGAGATGTATCAGGATACACCTTAGATATGCATGTGTTGGAGAAAATTTAAGATACATACATGTAAACACTAAAAGATACATATGGATATGCAAAATACATCAGAAACCCAAAAAATTAAGCATTCAAAGAGGTCTAGAAGTTCGCCCCAAAATCTTCTTTCTTTAATCCTTGAAAATCTGGCAGAATTGACACCCAACCAATGACTGGAGCTGATCCGACCCACCACCTCTTCCCAACTTTTCTTCTTATTCTCAAAGATTCTTCTATTTCTTTCCTTCCAAACTTCCCAGCACACCGCAAATGGGATGCAACACCATGTCTGCTTGACCTTAGAACCACCCTGAACTCTTGGCCAAAGTCTAAAGATTTCAGACTAATCTGAGATTGACCACCAATCCACATTAAACATCTTAAAGAAGTAGAACCATATTAGGGAAATGAAGCTGCACTTATAGGACAAATGCATAATGTTTTCTTCTCTAAATAAGCACAGGGCACACCTGCTTGGAAATTGAAATCCTTGACTCTTTATGATGTCCTGAGTCAAAATACACTCACTGGCTATCAACCATGCAAAGGCTTCCACTCTTGAGGGCACTGGTTTCCCCCACACTCCCGAAATTGGATCAGCTTCCATCATATTTCTTATCAGAATAGAGTACGTTGACTTCACTGTAAGTTTTCCATCAATGCATTCCTTTCACCATCTCATGTCACCACTCACGATGGATTAATTTCCAAATATTGCAATTTTGACAACAGTTCCACACATTCCTCAAGCTCCCAGTTGAGTAGAGGTCTTCTAAAATTTGGTGTCCACACCACAGAACCATTTGAGACTTCGTAACATTCAGAATAGGTACACTCTTCTGACATAATTTGTACAACCTTGGATAGATTTCACGGAACTTCCCTAATCCAGACCAATCATTTCCCCACCCTCCAGGAATAATGAGAAACCATTAAAGAATTGAAACTCATTATTCCTTTCCATACACATACCCCATAAGAGTGTCTTACTTCCTTTGAATGCCACCCAAAGTTCACCACCCCATATTTACCAGCCACTACTCTCCTCCATAGTTCCTCTCTCTTCTAAATCTCCACATTCGCTTTCCCAACAAAGCTTTGTTAAAGACCCCCACCCTTTGCACCCCAAAACCCCCTTATTTTTTAGGCTTGCACACCATAGATCTACAATTTATTCAAATGCTCTATGGATATGATAGATCATCCATAGATCTACAATATATTCAGTCCTTATAATTGGATCATGAAAATATAATTAATTATGTTTGGTTATTTTTAATTGTGAAAATATAAAAAAAATAAAAGAAAAATCATTAAAGAAGAAATTTCAATTACTCTATGGAAATAATAGGTCATTCATTGAGCTGAATCTCACTTAAAATTCTCATTGGTTTACAAATGACCAAGAATAAAAACAAAAAATAATTAATTCTATTTAATAATTAATTAATAAAAATATTAATTGCAGGTGAGTCCCATTGTTCACGTCTCTCACTCTCCCCTTCTTCTTCTCTTTCTCTTTTGCCTTACTTCTGACCGAATTAGCAGCATCTATTAGATGTATTGTTCTCTTGGTTGACAGATTGGAATGAGTTGGTAGACACTCTTTTTATCTACAATGATCAGACCTATTCTTATGTAGTTTTTTGTTTCAGTCACCTTTCTTCCACTATCAACCAAGTTTTTTCCTCTGCTACCGTTGATACATCAAATCGGGTGGCTCTCCTCTCTTATACATCACCCATATCTTGATTAATGTGGTTCTTCTATTTTCCTTTATGAAATATTTTCTACTTTCTTTATTTCATTATCTTTGGTTGGTTCATAATATCTATAAATTGTCGCACTTAACCTCGCTTCTCTTCTTTCTCAAACAATCAAATCCCCACCGTCTCTATCACCGCGTCCACCAGCTGGCCACTGAGAATATTCCCCCAAACACCCCAATGGTCAAAAGGCCGATCATTAGGCGGTTATTATTTTCAATCATTTATGTTATGATTTTTCTGACATCTCATTCTGTTATGATTCTGGTGACGTGTCAAATGATTGTAAATTTGTAACCGACCTTGCTTATAAATAGTATGAGAAACAAAGACATCTTGCTTTTTGAATCCAACATTTCTCTAACTAATCCTTTTGTCTCTCCCGTGTATCCTCTTCAAGCGGTGTTGTCACTATAGCTTAAATCCAAGCCTTTCTTGGCAACGAGAAGAGGTCCATGACATTGTGGTAAGTTGTCACTGGTGACATAATGGGTTGCTTGGCTAGAGGTTTTTTAAATGTTTATGGGCTGCTCTAGAGCGTTCTGGGGTGTTCTAGAGTATTCTCCGTGTGTTTAGAAGAGACTAGATGCTGGTGGTATTCTTTAGAACTTTGTGGAACAATCCGGGTTTGTGTAGAACGCCTTAAAGGGGTTGAGAGTAATCTAGACTTACTCTAGAGTGTTCTTGTATCTTATAGAATGGGCATCCCCTAGAAAAAAATAGAAGGTAGAATGTTTTAAAGGTGCTTCTAGATGATGACAATTGTACATAGTTCTAGAGGATTCCTTGAGGAGGTTAGTGTATAAATAGGAGTCCCCTCCATTTGCAACAGGCATCAATAGAATGGGCATCCCCTAGAAACATATAAAAGGTAGAATGTTCTAGAGGTACTTTTAGATGATGACAAGTGTACATAGTTCTAGAGGATTCCTTGAGGAGGTTAGTGTATAAATAGGAGTCCCCTCCATTTGCAACAGGCAACCAAGTTGTAAGAGCATTCTTTAAGTTTTAAGCTTTTTTCTTCTAGTACAATACAATTTATTCCTCCTACAATACTTGGTGTGCTCTTGTGTGCCTTAGTGTGTGTCCTTAGTACTTAAACAACTTATCAAGAAGGGTCTTGGGCGTTCAATTTGGTTGATTTGCTTGGAGGGCCAAGTGAATGCCATACGGCTTGGGCAACGGGAGCAGTCAAGTCGTGGCAAAGCGGTCTCATGGGACTACCAGATGATTGGCCTTGAAGAATGACTCAACAGCATGGAGAAGTTGTAAGAGGCCATCTAGAAAACCCAAGAAGCAATCCTGAAGCAATTGGTGGAGATCACTGAATGTCTAAATTGGCTAGGTTCACGAACAGAGGCATTGTAAGAGTCTCACCCCCAATGGTAATGGCGGATCAAAATAAATGGGGAGTGCTCCTTGCAGTCGGGAGGTGTCCTAGGCACCCAACTGAAGTTTTGGAAGGTGAACCTACACAAATTCAACGGCACTAGCCTAGAAGGTCAACTGTTGTTGGTCGGGCAATACTTAGGGTATTGAAGAGATACCGGAGGAGCGTTGGGCCACGGTAGCCGATCTGGGTTTTAAATGGAAGGTGGTAGAATGGTACAGCTGGTTCAAAGAGTACCAACCGAACCCCACCTAGTCACAGCTTGTCACAACCATGGAAGCCAGATTTATCAGCCCACAAGGTAGCAACTATGTAGGTCATCTCTCTATACTAAGCCAGGTTTCGATGATGCAAGAATACATGAAGGAATTTCAAAGGCTATCTAGCAGAGTAAAAGGGATTGCCTGAGGATTATCTAGTGGGATGCTTTGTCCTTGGGTTGAAGATTGAGATTGGGTTGCCTGAGGATTATCTAGAGGGATGCTTTGTCTTTGGGTTGAAGATTGAGATTCACGTCGAGGTGGAAAAGCTGGAACCCCCGATTATGGCACGAGCTTTCTGTTTAGACTTGATAGAAGAAGAGGAATGGAATGCATGTCGGAAGGCAGTTTGAGCAGACCTTTCTCGTAGGAAACCCCCTATCGTTCGGGGTGAACATTATTGTTTTTAAAACCGAAAAAACGAATTAAAATTTTTGGTTTTAATTTTTTCAATTTTTGGTTAATTCAGTTCGGTTAATTTGGTTTTTAAATTTAGAAATTTGATTAATAAAAAACGAATTTCATTATATAGCATGTAATATATATAATATATTATATCTTTATATATTAATATATTATCAAGGATTTAAATATCAATACGATACGCCCCGTATCGTATCTGTATCGGTCAAGGGGGATACGGGATACGCTACAACTAAACGCATATCTCTTTAATCGTATGTATTGCTCCAATACGCACTTGTACCAGTTCGTATTGTATTGTATTGTATCGGCCGATATGCATCGATACGATACGATAATGAGCGTGTTTGAAGTTTCAACTTCTGCAATTCCACGTATCTAAAAAATGTGCGTGGGATGATTCTTACCCAAATCATGCAAAATGAAAAATTTAAATACAATCTTCAACCACTAGATCGAATTTGATCTTGTGATAATTAATGAAATAAAGTAACCTTTATTCATTCAAACATCTAAATGTTATCCCAACAAATAAATTATACTTATGTTTAACATCAACTAAAGATGAAAAAATATTATTCAAAATTATTATTTTATAAAATAATACAATAAATGATTTCCCATATCCACATTTATATCAAAAAGTGGTTTTTAATGTCAATAAATTTATGTAAATAAAAATATTAATAATAGAATAATTATTTTACTACTCAAAATTTGTAAATTTGAGCATGATATGTATCTTAAAAATTTTATAAATTATTAATTAATATTTTAATTTACATTAAATAGCAACATATTTATTACTTACAAAAATAAAAATATTTATAAAATACTTGAGAATATAGTATAAATTGAATTTGTCAAATCCACTAATTTACTTTCACATCAAAAAGATTTTTTATTTCATAAAATTTATATAAATAAAAATACTAATAATAGAATAATTAGTTTAGTAATTAAAAACTATGA